AGACTTAGTAAATTTCTTGATCTCTACCACTGAAGGATCCTTTGCCAGTTCCTGTATTTTAGCCTCCATCACTAATTAATTTAGCTCCTAGCCAAAGAAAAAGTTAAAAAATAAAAATTGGAAAAAAATACAAAAATTTGCATGGCCCCTAACACAAGGCCACACTTACCTCAATCGTGAAGGGATCCAGCTGGGTGTCCAGTCAGCGCAAGATATTCTTTGGGAGATGAGCTGGACCCTAGGCTAACACACAACCGTTCTGTAGAAAACAAGAATTTTTAGTTTTGGCACTCAAGAATTTAATTTTTTACAATTACAGTTCATCCCAGTCTGGCCAACCACTTGTTAAGGTTTAATGTGTCTGCTATGTGGGGGCTTGTATTATTAAGTAGATTCAGCAGTTAGCATCAAGATGTATCCCAAGTAATGGAGATCTTCAAGGCCCGGCCCCCAATAAAAATATAAGAGTAATACTTATAGTGGCTTACTGGAAATGTCAGCCTAGAGGTAGATCATAAATCTCCTACACAGGAAGAATGGATACTCCTTTAAAACTAACTTATTTATTAACCCCTTAACAACCCCCCATATACATTCACACCAATAACAATAATTACTTTACCACACTATCTTACGTTAAAAGCCTTGGTCCACATAAGCAGGATACAAGGTTTTACAATGAGCACAAGCTAGGGTAAAGTCTACTAGGCAAGGGACACTAGCAAGGACTCTAGGTAGCTTACTGGTACTATTGGAGCCCACGTGGTTCCACTGGGACCCCCTTAGAGTAACTTAGCAATATAAACACTAGTGATCACCTAATTAATACACAGTAATACCCTACACCCTAGACAACGCAAATTATGCCAGAAAATGAGGACACAATACAGTACTTATCTTGGTAAACTAGACACAGAAATAGGTAAGGGAGAGTAGCAGGAGGAAGGGGAGAAGGTTGTTTTCATCACGACGCCAGCCAGAGAAGGAAGCAGCAGCCACCAGCCTGAGCTCTCTCCAGCTCACTCGCTGCCGGCCGACTACTCAGCTAATCGTACAGCAGCCCGATATCCAAGTTTACTCAGATCCACTTTACTAATACTTTCTAATCATTTGTAAACATAGTTGATGCCTATTTTATTAATTAATAATCTATCACACGCTCAGTCTTTAAATGCTCTGTGAGAAACAAGATTCGTCTTACGTCTGGCAAGGAAGATACGAACAGACACACATCCACAAGCGTCCCACATAATATAAAGTATTTTATTTAGCTCAATTTGACCTCTGGTTTCCAATTGAGGAACCCAGGGTCGTAACAAACGCTCACAAGGAAACCTTAGAACTAAGAATTTTGCACATAATATGTAAAATTGAAGAGAATCGGTCAGAAACTAAGTTTTTAACTCACTCTCAAAGTTGAAAATCTTGTTCATACAGAAAAATGAAGGCAAACTTCTCGACAATAAACATAGTAGTACAAATTTATGTCATATTTTATCAATTTGAATAAATATTGCTTGTCTTTCGTACTTGAATAGTACAAAAAGTTGTAGGTCAATATGTGTTGAAATGAAGTCAAGAAAAAATACCCCCCACCAAAAAACCAAAATATGAGGATAATTATAATGGGTTAGAGGGATATGTAAGCAACCCGTTCTCGCAAATTCGTAAAGTCAATATTGACTTATTAAATAAGTGCATAGGTGACATACTAAACATAATAGATACCCTTAAAAAGCTTCATAGAAAACACCGACCTTAACTAACCTTGTTAGTATCTTAAGATAAGCATCTTATAGCTTCGTAATTACAATTATTACTTAACCTATTATAGGTATAGGTTAAGTAATAATTATAATTACGAAGCAATAAGATGCTTATCTTAAGATACTAACAAGGTTAGGTAAGGTCGGTGTTTTCTATGAAGCTTTTTAAGGGTATCTATTATGTTTAGTATATCACCTATGCACGTAGTTAATAAGTCAATACTGACTATACGAATTTGCGAGAACGGGTTGATGTAAGTATACTTTATATAAGTGATAAGGCCCTCTTCTGGTCCTAGAATCCGAGAAGGCACCATCTGCTTGTCCACTCAATGGCAGTGGACATCCTCCTTATTTTTTTATTACTACTCTTTAATAAATTTGTTAATACATTTTAGTAATTTTTTTTTATATTACTACTCTTCTTTGTGCGTCGGACAGGTGATTGTATCTCTAATCTCTTAATCACTGCTTTATCCATGAGTTCCACTAGGAGATTTTTTTAATTCGAATAAAATATATTTCTTAACATATTGGGAAGAAATTTTCACGACGCTGGTACCAAATAACGAAAGATTTGTTTAACAGTTTTCCCTATATTTCATTTTGGGACAAATATATTTGTGCTTGACACATGCAGATCTTGACAAAATTGTGTACCCTGTTGGGTTATGTGATGACCCACGAAAGGCTTTTGGCCCTGTTAGTCGCAACAATCATCTTAAATTACAACATTATGGAGTCAGAGGTCACTCCCTCCAATACTTACAATCTTACCTCAGTGACAGGCTCCAGTATGTCTCTGTGAATGATTCTAATTATCCCTCCCTACCCATTAATATTAGTGTTCCGCATGGCAGTATACTTTGCCCTCTCCGATTTTACATCTACATTACTGTCCTTCCAAATGCCTCTCAACACCTCAAGCCAGTTTTATTTGCTAATTACACAACCTTCATTTTCTCCAGTCCTAAACCCTCTTATTCTGAACAGTGACACAGTGAATACCGTTCTAAATAGAGGCAAACTGCTAACAAATTCACCCTTAACATTGATAAAATCTTATATATTTTGTTTGGTAATAAATCATCTGTTCAAATTAATCTAAGAATTAACAATATAAAAATTTGTAACAAAGTAGAGCAGCTAGATTCCTTGGTGTTTAGCAATACACAGTATAGCTAAACAAAAATCTATAATAGTTAGCATTTTTTCTAAAATAAGATACCTCGCTTTGCCCTGTTTAATGTTTAGAAGAGAAACTAAGTACTACCTAATCAATTCCATGAAACCTACCTTACATTTCAAATGTCAACTTGTGTCTTGCTGTTATTAAACATTAATAATTAATGACTGAACTTATAAAATTGCTGATATCTGCCATGTATAAACTTAAAAAAAATTGTTTTCCATTTGTATAATTAGTTAAAATTACTATCTGCTCCTCTGTTGTAATTTCCGTTGTTCCATTCAACATGTAATTATTGTCATTTTTTTCATCTTTCTATTTCAATTGAGTTTTTTCTTTTGATCCCACTTAGTTTTGTCTTAAATTAAAGTTAATTTTTTCACATCATGACCAAAATTATAATAATTATAATTAATTGCATCGGGGGACAGGAACCCAGAGTGTATTCATACACATTAAGCCTTTATCGAGGTCTAAGTCGAATTACTTAGACCGCCCAGGATGCAACCCTGCAACTAGTTGACTAACTCCTGAGTACCTACTTACTGCTAGGTGAACAATTCATTTGGTGAAAGGAAATGTGCCCAACCATTTCTATCCGCCCGGGATTCGAACCAGGAATTCTCAAATGTGCGTCGATTAAGAAACCGACTGTACTACCAAGACTAAAAATATGATGTGCATATTAGTGGCTATAGGCATAGTATATACTTGCTCCATCTAGAAATTTAATATTGTGCTTGCAACTCATTTTGTATGTATGCACTTTTCCCTAAATACACATCATTATCATTATCATCATCATAAATGTTATTAATTTACTGTGTTTAAATATAAAGCACATAATTGTATGTGCTTTCTGTTAATAATGTTAAGAACTACTTCAGTATTCTTGTTAGAACTACAAATTTCATAATGTAATAATCTATGCCTGTTATCATTGAGTATTACCTTTATTTTGTGTATCATTTGTTATATTTCTTAAACATTCTCACATATATTAGCTTACTTCTCTTTTAGTATTAAGTATATACTCTGTTATATCTATATATAATTTTTTATCTGAATTATTCCAGGTATTGGCCAAAATGCTTTATGTAGCTGTGGCTTCATTTGTATGTGTAACCCCCTGTCCCTACAATTGTCTGTTCATCTTCTGTTCTTCGTACATACATTCTTATGAATAAAAACTACACTTATTATTATTGTTGTTATTATTATTATTATTATTATTATTATTATTATTATTATTATTATTATTATTATTATTTTTATTATTATTATCATTATTATCATTATTATTAATATTAAGAAACTTACTACAATGCTGTAGTGAAGGCGAATGAAAGACCCAATTTATGTTTCAAGTGAATTGAACCACAAATTTTCTTATGTAACCTACTTCCTTTCACATGGTAATGTATGCAATATTCTGCAGAATATTGTATACAGTACCATGATAAATGATGTAGGCTACAACTGAAAAATCGGTTTTGAATACCCTTAAAACATAAATTGGGTCTTTCATTCACCTTTACTATTATTATTATTATTATTATTATTATCACAGAGAGTAATCACACTAACGTGACTGCATCTATGAGAAAATCCGTAGAAACCGAGATGAGGATTCAAACCTATGAGGTGGCTAGTCCCACACACACACATGCTCTAGCGACTAAACCACTAGATTAGACGACTAGATAATTATGATTATTATATTAGTTATTATATTTGTACCTGGAGCTACAAAGTTATTGTGGGTTGCACTCTGGGTATGGTCAGTAGCTGGCTGTAAAGATATGATAGAACAAAAAGGTTGAGAGTCCTTGCATTAGACAAACAACTAGGAATGCAGAGTGCTAGAGGTAAAAGCTCGATCTTGCAGGCACGAATAGATGAAAATGTGTTTATGAGGATACACACATCATACTTGCTCACTGGAACCATACATTAATCCAGTCATACATATTCAATTGCATGTGATTTTTGTTTTATTATAGTTTTCAGGATATAAATAATTTATTAATTTATCTATGTTACAGAATGAGGCAGTTAGCAAGGTGCAGAGTCAGCTTAATAATATAGCCTCAGCCAGTGTCAACCAAAACAAGCAGGTAGGTGTATTTTTTAAGTTTTACCTGTATACCAAGCAACAAAATTCCTACAAGAAACATTTTCTTTCAGAGATGTACAACTGTGTTTAGTATTGGTGGTATAAGGTTACATTTACGTAATCAGTATTGGCAAATTATGTATATATATATATATATATATATATATATATATATATATATATATATATATATATATATATATATATATATATATATATATATATATATATATATATATATATATATATATATATATATATATATATATATATATATATATATATATATATATATGCAGAATAACCACATATGAAAAATAGAAAATGCTTAACGCGTTTTCGGCTAATTCGCCTTCATCAGAGCAAAGTAGAATGATTGCTTCTACTTTGCTCTGATGAAGGCGAATTAGCCGAAAACGCGTTAAGCATTTTCTATTTTTCATATGTGGTTATTCTGCATACTTGGATCAGTGTTTTTGTGATCATTGTTGCATATATATATATATATATATATATATATATATATATATATATATATATATATATATATATATATATATATATATATGTTAGTATATTTAGGTAGCAGTATATTTAGGTATATATATATATATATATATATATATATATATATATATATATATATATATACATATGTCGTACCTAGTAGCCAGAACGCACTTCTCAGCCTACTATGCAAGGCCCAATTTGCCTAATAAGCCAAGTTTTCATGAATTAATGTTTTTTCGACGCCCTAACCTACCTAACCTAACCTAACCTACCTTCTTCGGTTACCTAACCCAACCTAACCTATAAAGATAGGATAGGTTAGGTTAGGTAGGGTTGGTTAGGTTCGGTCATATATCTACGTTAATTTTAACTACAATAAAACAAAATTGACCTCATACATAATGAAATGGGTAGCTTTATCATTTCATAAGAAAAAAATTAGAGAAAATATATTATTTCAGGAAAACTTGGCTTATTAGGCGTATCGGGCCTTGCATAGTAGGCTGAGAAGTGCGTTCTGGCTACTAGGTACGACATATATATATATATATATATATATATATATATATATATATATATATATATATATATATATATATATATATATGTTAGTATATTTAGGTATATATATATATATATATATATATATATATATATATATATATATATATATGTCGTACCTAATAGCCAGAACGCACTTCTCAGCCTACTATTCAAGGCCCGATTTGCCTAATAAGCCAAGTTTTCATGAATTAATGTTTTTTCGTCTACCTAACCTACCTAACCTAACCTAACCTAGCTTTTTTTGGCTACCTAACCTAACCTTACCTATAAATATAGGTTAGGTTAGGTTAGGTAGGGTTGGTTAGGTTCGGTCATATATCTACGTTAATTTTAACTCCAATAAAAAAAATTGACCTCATACATAGAGAAAAGGGTTGCTTTATCATTTCATAAGAAAAAAATTATAGTAAATATATTAATTCAGGAAAACTTGGCTTATTAGGCAAATCGGGCCTTGAATAATAGGCTGAGAAGTGAGTTCTGGCTACTAGGTACGACATATATATATATATATATATATATATATATATATATATATGTCGTACCTAGTAGCCAGAACGCACTTCTCGGCCTACTATGCAAGGCCCGATTTGCCTAATAAGCCAAGTTTTCCTGAATTAATATATTTTCTCTAATTTTTTTCTTATGAAATGATAAAGCTACTCATTTCATTATGTATGAGGTCAATTTTTTTTTATTGGAGTTAAATTTTACGTAGATATATGACCGAACCTAACCAACCCTACCTAACCTAACCTAACCTATCTTTATAGGTTAGGTTAGGTTAGGTAGCCGAAAAAGTTAGGTTAGGTTAGGTTAGGTAGGTTAGGTAGTCGAAAAACAATTAATTCATGAAAACTTGGCTTATTAGGCAAATCGGGCCTTGCATAGTAGGCAGAGAAGTGCGTTCTGGCTACTAGGTACGACATATATATATATATATATATATATATATATATATATATATATATATATATATATATATATATATATATATATATATTTTCTCGGCCTACTATGCAAGGCCCGATTTGCCTAATAAGCCAAGTTTTCATGAATTAATTGTTTTTCGACTACCTAACCTACCTAACCTAACTTTTTCGGCTTCCTAACCTAACCTAACCTATAAAGATAGGTTAGGTTAGGTTAGGTAGGGTTGGTTAGGTTCGGTCATATATCTACGTTAATTTTAACTCCAATAATAAAAATTGACCTCATACGTAATCAAATGGGTAGCTTTATCATTTCGTAAAAAAAAAAAATTAGAGAAAATATATTAATTCAGGAAAACTTGGCTTATTGGGCAAAACGGGCCTTGCATAGTAGGCCAAGAAGTGCGTTCTGGCTACTAGGTACGACATATATATATATATATATATATATATATATATATATATATATATATATATATATATATATATATATATATATATATATATATATATATATATGTTAGTATATTTAGGTAGCAGTCTTTCCTGTAGACATATATTATTAAATATGACCAAAAAAGTAAGATTAATAACACGAATTTTCCCGATCTTTCTTACGTTTCTTTTCACTGATGATGGTAATTCAAAGATCAATTCTCCAATATTCATTTTTATTTCTATTCTGATGCGACACTTGACCGCGTTTCGTAAAACTTATTACATTTTCAAAGAATTTAGTTTACAAACACAGAACAGAAACTAAATAGAGCTTACACATCTTCGATTTTATATCTACATTTGGGTGAGGTAGATGAGGTGAAAACAAACTTTCAACAACGGGTATTGAATGGGTATTAAATTCAAACACAAGACAGAACACGAAACAATGGGTATTGAATGGAAGTAATTGTAGAAAGCCTATTGGTCCATATTTCTTGATGCTTCTATATTGGCACGGAGTCTTGAAGTGGGTAGAATATAGCGGTGCATTAATTGGCTGTTGATTGCTGGTGTTGACTTTTTGATGTGTAGTGCCTCGCAGATGTCGAGCCGCCTGCTATCGCGGTATCTATCGATGATTTCTGTTATGTTTGTTAAGATTTCTCTGGTGATGATCTGGTTGTGGGAAGAGATTATATGTTCCTTAATGGAACCCTGTTGCTTATGCATCGTTAAACGCCTGGAAAGAGATGTTGTTGTCTTGCCTATATGATGAGTTCTTTGAGGCTTACAGTCCCCAAGTGGGCATTTGAAGGCATAGACGACGTTGGTCTCTTTTAAAGCGTTTTGCTTTGTGTCTGGAGAGTTTCTCCTGAGTAGGTTGGCAGTTTTTTTGGTTTTATAGTAAATCGTCAATTGTATCTTCTGATTTTTGTCTGTAGGGATAACGTTCCTATCAACAATATCTTTCAGGACCCTTTCCTCCGTTTTATGAGCTGTGGAAAAGAAGTTCCTGTAAAATAGTCTAATAGAGGGTAAAGGTGTTGTGTTAGTTGTCTCTTCAGAGGTTGCACGATGTTTCACCTTTTTTCTTATGATGTCTTCAACGAACCCATTGGAGAAGCCGTTGTTGACTAGGACCTTCCTTACCCTACAGAGTTCTTCATCGACTTGCTTCCATTCTGAGCTGTGGCTAAGATCACGGTCGACATAAGCGTTAACAACACTCCTCTTTTAACTGTCTGGGCAGTCACTGTTGGCATTGAGGCACATTCCTATGTATGTTTCCGTAGTGTAGACTGCAGTGTGGAAACCTCCGTTCCTTTCCATGACCGTTACATCTAGAAAGAGCAGCTTCCCATCCTTTTCCATCTCGTAAGGGAAACGCAACACAGAATTCTGCTCAAATGCCTCTTTCAGCTCCTGCAAATGTCTGACATCAGGTACCTGTGTAAAAATGTCGTCAACATACCTGCCGTATATGGCCGGTTTCAAGTTCATGTCGACTAAGACCTTCTGTTCGATGGTACCAATGTAGAGGTTCGCAAACAGGACACCTAAGGGAGAACCCATGGCGACTCCATCTACTTGCTTATACATGTGCCCATCCGGGCTCAAGAAGGGTGCCTCTCTAGTACAAGCGTGGAGTAGTTTCCTTAGAATGTTTTCTGGTCTGTCAAGAGGAGTACAGGCTGGATCACGATACACTCTGTCCGCTATCGTCCTGATTGTTTCATCCACAGGTATGTTGGTAAACAGTGATTCGTTTACCAACATACCTCAGTGCCAAGGTGGCAGTTGCACGCTGCCACCTTGGCACTGAGTTTTCCCATATAACAGGGCTCGATGAAAGAGCATCGGGGGTCCCACACTATCTCATTGCATGGCTTTGAAGTATGGTGTAGTGGATACAGTGTGCAACTGCCACCTTGTTGGCCAGTGTTCGAGTCCCCTGGTGGGTTGAGTGTCTAAAAAGTTATAAACTTCAGCTACTGGAATAGGGTAGTCTGTGCATTAAGCATTTGGCACTGAGTTTTCCCATATAACAGGGCTCGATGAAAGAGCATCGGGGGTCCCACACTATCTCATTGCATGGCTTTGAAGTATGGTGTAGTGGATACAGCGTGCAACTGCCACCTTGTTGGCCAGTGTTCGAGTCCCCTGATGGGTTGAGTGTCTAAAAAGTTATAAACTTCAGCTACTGGAATAGGGTAGTCTGTGCATTAAATATATATATATATATATATATATATATATATATATATATATATATATATATATATATATATATATATATATATATATATATATATATATATATATGTTGTACCTAGTAGCCAGAACGTCGTACTCGGCCTACTATGCAAGGCCCGATTTGCCTAATAAGCCAAGTTTTCCTGAATTAATATATTTTCTCTAATTTTTTTCTTATAAAATGATAAAGCTATCTATTTCATTATGTATGAGGTCAATTTTTTTTATTTGAGTTAAAATTAACGTAGATATATGACCGAACCTAACCAACCCTACCTAACCTAACCTAACCTATCTTTAT